TTCTATAAGTCTTCCTCTGAAGCTGATTGACTTATTACGTCATGCAAAATATTCCATGAGATCAACAAAAGTATATAAGTGAGTTTCTGTATGTGAGTGACCGGTTGATAAAATCAAGTATATTCCATATATAAGATACATCTTTCTGCGGTAGTTTGAACTTAATATTTTCACAAGGTTAGATGACCTTAAAGTTGGTTAGAATATGCTTATTTGGATAAGGAATACTAATTTAAGAGTTGTCATTTTCGCTATAACAAAGATAACTCGCTATCAAATTTGAGTAGTTAATTTGCCACAACGAATTTGGACTCGTTATAGCGAATATGAAAAATTGGCTCGTTTGCCATAGTAGACTTGATTTCACCGAGCAAAAGTATGTATATAGGTTTTATTTTTTATGATGAGTTGAAACGAAAAAGAAAGTTTAGGGACTAAGTAAAAGATCTTTTAGAGATATCTTTTAAGTATTATGTATAAATCTAATCTAAGACTATAAATAAGAGTCTTTAGTTGAAGAAAAAGTAAGATGATATTCGTAGCTATTCCTCAAACAAGGTAGCAAACATAAACATTATTTAATATATCATTTGTAATAAAAACTGTGTCCCTTATAGCAAAACAGTACATCAATCCTTGATTCTAGGTTTACTATAGCTGGATCAAACTTTGAACCTAAACCTTCTAAAACTGAGAGAATAAGCTCACCATTTAAAATTAAATGTCTTGCAGCAGCTAGAGAATTTGTAATATCCTTCATTTTTAAAATGTATTCACCAACACGAAGAAATCCTCTCTTAGTTCCATCTAGCTTATTTTGCCAACGCAAAATTGAGCTGTAGTGTTACAGCGAATCAGATATCCAAACATAGATTCAGGTAAAAATGATAAAAACCAATTTATAATGATTTGATCAACCTTCTGCCAAATTAAAAACTCATTAGCAGAGCTATCTGCTATTTGCTATTTCGCCTGCAATCAAAGGAGAAGGAGGACACTGTTTAGCACCTGTTATATGCTCCTCAAATCCATATGTTCTTGCCCTGGACAAAGCCAAGGATCTCCATAATTAGGAGATTTAATTCTAATCGCTTTAACTTGTAAATATGTGTACTTGTACATAAAGTGAACGCCTAATGAAATATTATTGTACCTTTTCATTCATTCTTGTGTAAACTTTATAATAATTACACTATTAAAATTTTCTCCTCAAGCACTATATTTTGCCACAATTTGTTAATTCAGATAACTAATATAATCATTAAAATTGACTTAATGTCTATATCACAATTACTTGCAACTTGCAAGAACATTAAAATTGACTAAATGTCTATATCACAATTTCTTGCAAGAACTTGATACTTGGGATCTCGTCTCAAGATGATCAATTTATTATCAATCCAATAATTTAAAAGTGATGGAGATCTTTTCCAAACTAATTAAAATAGGTAACCTTTTTATTTTATTTTAGGTATGGTAATTGGCCACCCCTTGTAATAACTCGAATTTAAGACCCGTGCGACGCTTTTAATCATACACTACTCCATCCATCCAGCCACAAATGGGTGGTTAAGGTATCTCTTTTTGATATGACATGCAATCGAATATTATGAGTACCAAAGCGGTGGGACGCTTTTTTAATCATACACTCCTCTATCCATATCTATTTAGCAAGTAGCAATAAATATGGATAGGGTTGGCAACTTCTGGAATTATTGGTGCTTCATCTTTATTATTGTATTATGGAAAGGATTCCATCCTTGAAAACTACTGATAAAGATATTAAGGATAGTTGTACGTTCGTTTATTTATTTATTTATTATCTGTTTTGTTTTTTATTGGTTCTTTTGAGGGCGACAGTAGTTTTAGGTTCTATGTAACCTCACTCAAATATAATTAAGTTTATTTGCCCCCACAAAATTCTTCCCCGTGTCCGATTTGTTTTTTCTACGTTTGTTTATTTATTTATTATCTTTTTTTTTTTTTTTTTTTTAATTGGTTCTTTTGAGGGCGACAGCAGTTTTAGGTTCTATATAACCTCAGTCAAATATAATCAGAAAATTAATTAAGTTTATTTGTACCCATAAAGTTCTTCCCCGCATCCATTTTTTTTTCCTTTTTCCGTTAAGTACACCCAATTTGAAATTTGAAAGTTTGCTTTATAAAAGCCTTATAATGTCTAAAATTAAATAGCTCAAGATCCATATATGATACTATTTTTATGTTTAATGATTGCATATGGAGTAATAGCTTTCACTAACGGCATGATTAATTTTTAATTTTATAATTTTAGAGTAAGATTTACTTTTACTCAAAGTGGACGCCTAAAATATGGGATTGCAACATGCGGTAAACTAAAATTTGTTAAGGCTAAGTTGGATTATATTTAAGACGTCTATTAATGCATGATAAAGTTATATTGAATTTCAACCATTGAAAGTATTTTGATCCACTGGTTTAAAAATAATGTTATTAGTTGTGTTAAAAAAAATGAAGCTAGAAAATCTGCTTCACATATAAACCAAGTCATCTAGACTGATATGGTGTAATATGATTAAATGATTACAATTTATAAAGAAATTTATAGATAAATAAAATGATTTTAGATATTGAAACAATTATATTCAAATTTTCAAAGAATATGATAATGGAAGTTCTTGATTTTCATTGAACAATTGGTTATCCATATATACAACAGAAGACCTGTAATTTAGACAATCAACAGATGTATAACAAATTTGAGAGTGTGCCAACTATACAAAATTTATCCCTTGATCCTTGGCTTGATTTTGTTCTTGATTATTGGAGGAAATAATTTCATGATTGTAGCTATTTAAATTATTTCCTTTAACAATATGCATTAGTTTTCTATGAATTATCTTATATATAGAATTCGTATAACAATACTCATACATAGACAATTAAAAGGAAATATTTTATTTATAAAAGAAAGAAAGTAAAACGTGTATAAATATTTTTAAATAGAGAGATATTTAGCATATATAGAAAAGGAAGCAATAAACCATGTGAGATGCATCTAAAATTAAAAAAGTCCAACCTCATCGAACAAAAAAGTCAAAGGAGCATGAGCACTATAACCACGCAAACCTTCCATGTTGTCTCAAAAATTTTTATAGCATTTTTTGTTTTACTACGTTAATTACATGTTACGCTATTTCCAGCTTGACTTGAATGAGAATAAAATCTCCTTGTAAGATGATTTGATTTTCATTTTCTAATACATTAATATATATATATATATATATGTGTGTGTGTGTGTGTGTGTGTGTGTGTGTGTGTTATTTAAAGTGAAGCCTTATACGCTGCCGTTTCAGTTATAACGCATCTTGCAATTCTGGCCATTGATCTCCAAGCAATCCAACGGCTGAAATTCACCCGCTGGTCAACGATATATAAGCTAAAGGTTTCCCCAAATTTTACTCTCTCTCGCTCGATAGAAGTCTGTTTTGCTCTGTTAGGGTTCCATTTTTTGGAGTGCTTTTATCTATATAAATCTGTGGCTTAATCCACCCATTTGAGTTGCGGTTCTTTGTGGGTAGAGAATCAGGTTAGAATTCTTGTTAGGATTATTTGATTTACGGTATAGGAGAGAAGCTATTGTGATTCTTGTAAGTAAGAGAGGGAGTGTGATTGTGTAATCTGTAATCGTTGGAGTGAGTAATAATAGTGCAGCGAGCCTCCATATTATGGAGCTCAATGTGGACGTAGCTTGCTCAATCTTGAACAAGTGAACCACGGTAAAGATCACGTGTTCTTCCTTGTTTTCTGTTTTCGTTTGATCTTGGTTTGGTTGTGTGTAATCTTGATTGGTTAGGTGACTTGATTTTACAATAGTGGTATTAGAGCTGAGTTAGGGTTCCTTGAATTTTATATTCTAGGGTTTTCGTGATTTGGGAAATTTTCTAGGGTTTCCGAAAATTTGGGGCTTTTTTTTCTTCAATCAAGTAGTTCCAAGAGTCCTAGGGTTCCAAATACAACAAGAATTTCTAAAAATCTCAGATTTTTGAGTCCATAATCATAATCTTGATTACTTAGGGTTTACTGTCAAACTCAAATTATGAGTATTACGCGCATGGAAATCTCCCAATATGATGGGAAGATTGATTTCAACACCTGGGAAAAGAAGATGAAGGCCCTCTCACTACAAGAAACTGGCATTCTGCATCTAGCAAAATTAGACGTAGAAAGTCAAATTTAGACGCTAAAAGACGCTAAGCCATTTTTAGCGTCTAAATTTGGTTGTCGCCCCCTTAGTTGCAGTAGGCTGGTCGCAGATTCATAGCGCGTCTATATTGTGGTTTAGACGCAAAAAGTTTTTTTTTTTTGCGACTAGCAAAATAGTCGGTAAATGCTGGTCAAATTAGTCCCCCAACTTAGACGCTAAAAGTTCAAGGGTAATTTGGTAAAATTGTATAGCGACTAATCAATTAGTTGCAAAATGTCAGTTTTAGTGTCTAATAATTTGTCGCGAATCCCACACAAATTAGACGCCAAAGGTGTAAGGGTAATTTTGTAAAAGGCTTTTGCAACTATTTTGTTAGTCGATGAATGTATCTATTAGTGACCAAAATTTAGTGGCTAATTGTAACTCTTTTAGACGCTGAATGTAGAATCCAAACGATTTTCGCGACTATTTTATTAGTGGCCAAATGTATCTGTTGGTGACCAAAATTTAGTAGTTAATTATAGTAATTTTAGATGCTGAATGTGGAATCCAATAGATTTTCGCGTCTATTTTATTAGTGGTCGAATGTATCTTTTGATGACCAAAATTTAGCAGTTAATTATAGTCATTTTAGACGCTGAATGTGGTATCCAATTATGATAAATTACTGCTTGCTACTACAAAATTAGTTGCAGAATGTGTTTTTTTTTTTTTTGAGAAAATAATTACTGGCAAAAGCATTTTGTATTGACTTAGTTTATACATTCAACATCAACAAAATAATCCATCACAATACAAAAATCTAAACACTAACATCAAATATCATATTTTCATATATATATATATAGTCCATACAATTGTTTATCTTATTTTCTTGTTGTTGGACTATGCGCCTTAACTCTGCTTCTGCTCCTTCAAGTAAGATGAGCTGCTCCTTCAAGCATTATTGCACGAATGTATCATTTTTTCCTACCATCAATTCAATGCATAATCAATAAGTCAAGCAAGAAACTAAATTATTACAAATAAATTATAATTATTCTGGGGTATACAATATGTGACAAAAACTTATGAAATGGCAATAGAAAAGAAAGACTACTCCTCAAAGTTCACAGAACGTACTGCAGCACCAAACCAAAATCAAATTGATGGAGTAGAAAAGCAAATATCTCACAGATTAACAATCTAAACTTCAATTCCCTAGTTTAAAATTTTAAACTAAGTTAAATTTCTTCTTTCATTCAGCCAAATGTGTTTTTGTAGAATACAACCTTATTCATAAAGGCTATAAATGTTTGAAATCTGATGGAAAAATAGTCATCTCACCTATGCCAATAATCTTGGTTTTAATTCAAGGTCTGATTTTGGTCCCAATTTCTGTACTTTTGATTATTCTTCTGATACATTGCATACATCATCTTTACTATTCACCATTGTTCAGCATGCTGTCCCTCGGTTTCAACTCTTCCTATTGTCACCTCATTAAATTCAATCCCTTCAAATTCAGCCTACCTAAGTTAAATTTCTACATAAGTTTACCAATATCATAACTTTACCAGTGTTTGCAGTGTAATTTTAGTTAACCAATATCATAAATTTCTACATAAATGTATGAGAGGTAAAAAGATAGCAATGAACTAAAAAAAATAGTGTCAAAAAACTCAGAACTAACCTTTATGTGAGCTGAGGCCTTGTTAGTTGTTGTGAAGACCCCAGAAGATTCAACAATATACTCAGCCCCATAATTGCCCCAAGGGATCTCAACCGGGTCCCTAGGTAGAGAGTTAAACGTTAGACCTTAAGTAGAATCAATTACTTATGTTTCCTGAGATGGGTGATGGAGTTAATTTACAATCCATAGAGTTAAACGTTAGACCTTAAGTAGAACCCATAATAACTCCTAACTGTTATGGATATATATGCACACATATTTAATCAACATAGGTTTGAGGCATGAAGATTCATGGAAATCTTTATTGATTTCTCTAGTTAATTCCTAATTTGCAGAGTGCTTGGTTAATAAGAAAGTGAGGAAAAAAAAAGTTAAGAAAAAACAAGAAAGAGTTAAAATATATGAAGGGAATATCTTGGAGAAAATGATTGGGGATGTATTAATGATTAGTAGAATGCCTAATAATCCAAGATAGAATCTCATATTTGTAATTTGTAATCTACACAAATTCATTGAAGCATCTATCACATTAAACAATTGCTCTGTCCATCACATTACATAAGATCTTATCCCACAATAAGGTGGGAATTGCACTGGAAAATGCTAACACCAAATGGCCTGAAGAAAAGCTAAAGAAGAAGGCAGAGGTTGACGAAGAAGTGTAAATCTGATCATCATGAACCTGTCTGACACCATGCTGCGGAAGGTGGATGGCGTGGAATCTCCAATTCCTCTCTAGGGTAAACTCGAATCTTTATATGCTCTTAAGTCTGCTCCTAATTTAGCTTTCTTAAAAGGTGCATTGTTTTCATATAAAATGGACTTAGCAAAATCTTTAGATGAAAACTTGGATGAATTCCTAAAGATGACCCTAATCCTAAAAGGTACTGACCAAGAACTAGGAGATTCCAGCCTTGCCATGATTCTGTTGAATTCCCTACCAGAAGAGTACCTAGTTGTAAAGAATGCCATACAGTATAGTGGAACTGTACCTAGTGTGGATTTGATAGTTTCTGGGCTAAAATCTAGGGAATTAGAATTGAAAATTCAAAAACGAAATGGTAGTAATCTATTTGTAAAAGGGAGATTTGATACTGGACAATCTGGTAAAGAAACTGGAAAGAACCCTCAGAGACACGTAGGCTATAAAAACAGAAGACTGGTAAATGGAATGGGAAACCTAAGGGTGAATCTAGGAAGTGTTTCTTTTGTAACAAAACAGGGCACCTTAAGAAGAATTGTTACGAATGGATTAGGAAAAGCAAACAGGCTAGTACTGAAACCAACCTAGCTAGCACTAGCAGTAACATTGAGATCTCGGAAGCCCTTACCATTTCCAACACTGATAGAGGTAATGAGTGGGTGCTAGACTCTGGCTGTAGCTTTCATATGAGTCCAAATAGAAATTGGTTCCAAAGCCTTAAAACTGGGGAACAGGAAACTGTATTTATGGGAAATAATCATTCCTGTGAAGTGCAAGGCATAGGTGACATAACCATTAGGCTGAATAATAGCAAGGTGGTCCTGCTCACTAGGATTAGATACATACATGAGCTTAAGTGTAACCTGATCTCACTTGGAACCTTAGATAAATCTGGCTGTTCGTATAAACACAAAATGGTTGCCTGGAAGTGTACAAAAATGGAAATTTATTGATAAAGGGTGTTAAAAGGAATGGCCTTTATATCTTGTGTAGTCAATACTATCTTGGTGTGTTTAATACTGCTATGTTGTCCACTAATGTATCTTCTGCAGAGAAATGGCATTTGAGATTGGGCCACATAGGCCAAAATAGCATGAATGCATTGAAAAAGTAGGGTTATTTTGGTAATGACTCTCTTTCAGATTTAAGTTTTTGTGAAATATGTGTTCTTGGGAAACAGCATAGGATGAGTTTCCACAAAGGAACTCATCTTGCTGCAAAGTGTTTGGACTATATGCACGCTGACCTTTGGGGTCTTGAAAAGGTCAAGTCACATGGAGGGAACACATACTTTCTCTCCATTGTAGACGATTACAATAGGAAGGTATGGGTATATCTTCTCAAGATTAAGGATGAAGCCTTGGCTAAGTTCAAAGGCTGGAAAATCATGGTTGAAACCCAATTAGACAGAAAAGTCAAGGCCCTTAGGACTGATAATGGGCTAAAGTTCTATAACCTAGAGTTTGACACTTACTATAGCAATCAGGGGGTATTAAGGCATAGGACTGTCAGGGGAACCCCACAATAGAATGGGGTTGCAGAAAGAATGAACAAAACACTTTTAGAAAGGGTTAGATGCCTCTTATTTACTGCTGGTTTGCCCAAAACTTTCTAGGGAGAAGCCCTAACCACTACAGCTCACCTAATTAATAGGGATCCCTCAAGTTCGATAGGATTTAAATGGCTTGAAGAGAGATGCTCAGGGAGGAGACCAAACCTTAGTTACCTAAGGGTGTTTGGGTGCGCAGCTTATGCACACACTAGAGATGGGAAATTAGAGCCTAGGTCCCTTAAATGTGTTTTTCTAGGGTATCAAGAAGGGACCAAAGGCTATAGGTTGTGGGAAAGTGATGCCCCAAGGGTTAGGATTATAATCAATCGAGATGTAGTCTTTAATGAGTTCATGTTTCCTTGCAAGGTTTCAAATGAAAATGCAGGTATGCCAAGAAGTGATCCTGAAATGCCTAATCAAACTAAGAGATCTCAGTTTGAGGTGGAGCCAGTAAATATAACAGAGCAACCTAAACAACCAGAAGCTTCTGAACCTCAAAACCCTACACTACCTAACAATGAGGACCAAGATGAAGAAGAGGAATTTCTTGAAAACTTTGATGAAGCCCAAAATGATAACCTGGCATAATACCAACTAGCAAGAGACAGAGTTAGAAGGGAGATAAGGCCCCCAAACAAGTTCAGCTATGCAGATCTAATATATATAGCCTTGGTGGCTGGTGTAGAGACACAAAGGTCAGAACCTGAAACCTATTAAGAAGTCATCAGCTCCAAAGACAGAGACAAATCGCTAGAAGCCATGAAGGAGGAAATGAGGTCTTTAAAGCTGAACAGAACCTGGTCCTTGGTCCCAAAACCCACTGACCAGAAACTAGTAGACTGTTAATGGCTTTACAAGTTAAAGGAAGGTATAACAAGTTCAGACCCTCCAAGATTCAAAGCCAGACTTGTGCCTAAGGGCTTCACACAGAGGACAAGCATTGACTTTACTGAAATCTTCTCACTAGTAGTTAAGTTTAAGACTATTAGGCTAATGCTATCAATTGTGGCTCACTATGACTTAGAATTGGAACAATTGGATGTTAAAATAGCATTTTCGCATGGTGAATTAAAAGAAAAGATATATATGTGCCAGCCCATCGGGTTTAAGGATAGGCACCTACCTGAACATGTTTGCCTATTGCATAAGTCCCTTTATGGCCTTAAACAATCCCCTAGGCAGTGGTACAAGAGATTTGACTCATTCATAGTAGGAGTTGGGTTTACTAGAAGCGAATATGATAACTGTTTCTATTTTGCATGTATAAATAACATGCCTATATACCTACTGTTGTACGTAGATGACATGCTACTAATATGCAAATCTAAGTCACTTATAGATGAACTAAAATCAAAACTAAGTGCTGAGTTTGATATGAAAGACTTAGGGTGTGCAAAAAGAATTTTGGGGATGATAATTGATAGAAACAGAGAATTAAACAGGCTGAGACTTCACCAACTACCATACCTACAAAAAATAACTTCTAGGTTTGGAATGACTGAATCTAAACCTATTAACATACCCCTAGCAGGTCACTTTATATTGAGTAAATTACAGTGCCCCAAAACTGATGCTAAAAGGCTGAAAATGGAAAATATCCCCTACTCAAGTGCCATAGGATCTGTCATGTACTCCATGATAAGCACAAGACCTGATCTTTCGTTTGCAATATCATTACTGAGAAGGTTTATGTCAAATCCTGGAATAGAACATTGGGTTACATTAAAATGGCTGCTTAGATACATTAATAGCACAATGCATGTTGGATTAGACTTTTGCAAAAGAAATTCTACACTTGATCTTGTTGGGTATGTAGACTCTGATTTTGCAAGTGATCGAGACTCAAGGAAGTCCACCACTACCTACTACTTCACTTTAGGTGGAAACTGCATCAGTTGGAAGTCACAATTACAACCACTGGTTGCACTGTCCACAATAGAAGCTGAGTACGTGGCAGTGACTAATGCATTCAAGGAGGCTATATGGTTGCAAGGGATCTTGAAATAAGCAAGTTTAATGGATGGACTTGTGACTGTGTATATTGACAGTCAAAGTGTCATTCACCTAAGTAAAAACCCTGTATATCATGAGAGGACGAAACACGTGGATGTAAAGTATCACTTTGTCCGAGATCAAATCACAAAAGGAAACTTGAATCTGCTGAAAATACCAACTGAAGAAAACCCAGCTGATATGGGAACAAAAGTGGTAACTCCTGCAAAGTTCAAGCATTGCTTGAACCTACTGCACATCAACTGATCGTGTATAGAGCTGAGAAGGAGTATGTGAGAAGCTCGCTGCACAAACCTATTGCCGTCTAGAAAAGAATAAGGCTTCAAGGTGGAGATTGTTAGTTAAAGTGAATCCTTATACGTTGCCGTTTCAGTTATAATGCATCTTGCAATTCTAGCCATTGATCTCCAGGCAATCCAACTGCTGAAATTCACCCACTGGTCAACGATATATAAGCTAAAGGTTTCCCCAAATTTTACTCTCTCCCTCTCGCTCGATAGAAGTCTGTTTTGCTCTGTTAGGGTTCCATTTTTTTAGAGTGTTTTTGTCTGTGTAAATCTATGGCTTAATCCACCCATTTGAGTTGCGGTTCTTTGTGGGTAGAGAATCAGGTTAGAATTCTTGTTGGGATTATTTGATTTACAGTATAGGAGAAAAGCTATTGTGATTCTTGTAAGTAAGAGAGGGAGTGTGATTGTGTAATCTGTAATCGTTGGAGTGAGTAATAATAGTGTCACGAGCCTCCATATTCTGGAGCTCAATGTGGACGTAGCTTGTTCAATCTTGAACAAGTGAACCACGGTCAAGATCGTCTGTTCTTTCCTGTTTTCTATTTTCATTTGATCTTGGTTTGGTTGTGTGTAATCTTGATTGGTTAGGTGACTTGATTTTACAATAGTACTAATAACTAATAATAGTATTAATTAATACAGGACGGTTAGGATAAAAGTCCTCTTCAACAATCTCATAGAAACTTGTTCATTCAAGATTAAGAAATTTGTTGATGATTTTAATAATATAATCACGCTTAAGATTAACAAATTATTCATCCCTTTTTGCTGCATATTGTTAATGTTTGGCTCAAGCATGTAAAAAAGGCTAAAATAATCACATGATGAATAAAAAAACTAAAATAATCTCAGCTTTTTATCCTAACTTGATTCTTTCCAAAAACACAACACAAAAAACATTTCAAAATGGATAATAATACGATTAGCACTAGTACTAAAATTTATGTGAAGTATACCATAGTACTTTGTTTCTAATGCATA